CCCAAATTATTTAACAATCAAATAAAGCGAAATAAATTAGAAACTATGTAACGGTTAAAATTTCATACAAAAGACAGTAGATCGTTCGAAAATAATTTGCCGGCCATATTGAGATAACATCAATCTTGTAAATTTTTTGCTTTTTTGTTAACTTGATTTCCACTCTAACTGACGATTCCTTTACTATTATTATTTTTAAACGTTGTTGCGGATTTCAGTTGGACGAGTTTCAAGTTTAAATAAAAAAAGTTCCATAACAGATTTTTTAAAGTTTTTTTAATTTGATTCCTGGTCACGTGTTAAGTTATCGTATCTCGCAAAAAGTAGCTCGATACAATGACGAACCAAGCCCTACCAGTCGAGTACGTCATAGCGAAGTTTTACTGGAGAAGATGCGAACGTGCATGTGTACTCGGAGCCACACGTGTTCGTCATTGAACGGAAGTATACACACGCGCATGCTGGTTCGCTGTGTTTGTTCAGTTGATACATGCGATACTCTACACGTACGTACATTTTAATGCAAAGAACAAACAACAGGTTATTTTATGGTTCTAGATTAATTGAACAGTATTTGTTACATTAGTTTGAATTATTTATAATTTATTGAATGTTCCACATTAGTATTCAAGAGTCATGTGATTTTCTGTATAACAATTTATGATGAAATGGTTATAAAATCATTAAATTAAATATAAAATTCATCGAAGCCATGCGCAGAGAAATTTGAAATTATAAATGACTAAAACCAAATACTTGCATGCATGCGTGCCGTTTAACAAGACAAATTTATTAATTTCAGAAACTACGTGAACAGCAAACAACAGTACGGAGCCAACAAATTAACATCATAAATCCATGTATCGAAATGTGATTGACGCATGTGGCGAACACGTGCGGCCAACTACAAAAGCATCAAGTCATTAATATTAATAATCATTCATTCATGTGTAGTACGAATGCACGCACACCTGTTACACATTCAACGATACAGTATAAAAACATACCGTGTCCTTTATAGTATAATGCACTTTACATTTTTCTATTACATTTAGCTACTCTGTTTTTCAATGAGGCTTACGCAGTTCGGCGCACGTTTATTTGAATTGTAATTTAATGTCGCTTGCACCGTGTTTGGAGTTGGACGACAATTTCAGTTTCGTGTGGTGTATATACTGTGGTGAGAGAGATTTGCTGGCGAATATATTTCACCAAGGGGGATACGTTCAGACCAGGAACAACTACTTTCAAACATTCAACTGAGACTAGGAATGGGACATTATGGGCAAATTTTTCTCTGGGAAGCGCTTTAATGTGTATTTAAACATATACATACGAATTATATATATATATTGTATGTATATGTATGGTATATATATATATATATATATAAGCTTTCACATTGGCAACAGCTTAATGTCTCGATGTTGATCGTTTCCAAGTAGTCGACAAATAAACAATTATGGCTTCAAATCATTCAATTTATTTTTTTAATTGTATTTATTGTATCTCTAAGCTATATTATATATATATAATATATATATATATATATATATATATATATATATATATATATATATATATATTATATATATATATATAAAGAGAGAAAAGGAGAATGACGAGTTAGTGAAAATAATAACAGAAATTTTTAGATTACAGAATGTACATGATAGCAGAAAAATACTTGTGCCGGAACCTCTGCCACTTTCGGGTAACTAAATCTACGAGTGCTAATAAAGTTCAGAGATTTGGTGAACTTGACAACATGGTTAAATCCATTCTCGATGGAGATTTGGAAGAAAGTTTCCAATATTCGTTTCATTTTGATTATTCATGAGTTTGTGATTTACAATAAAAATACAATTAAGCCATCACAGCTGTTAAAGCGACTAAATTTGAACTTAATATTGAATATTATCTAGGTAAAAAATCGCTGGATGGACATAAATTGCCTTCTGTTTTCAAAGCCTGTTTTTTTTCATTTCTAAAAAATTAAATAAAATATTTAATATTCGGTTTCGGCCAAATTCGCTATTCACAATGTTGATATATATATATATATATATATATATATATATACATATATACATATATACAGAATATGATGCAAGCACCGCCACACATCCAACCACGTACACGATTCACGCAAGCGCACACACGCAGAGGAAGAGAAAGACGTATGTGCAAAACAAAAAGCGGTTTCCAGTTTGATATATTAGCGTTTGAATAATTCATTGCGTCATTAGCAATCAATGTTGTGATGGATGGACGGATGGATGGATGGTTGGAGGGATGGATGGATAGATGGATGGAAAGAGGAAAGAAATGAATGAATACATGATCGATCGAGCAAATGAACAAATGCAATATGACGAAACGCTGGGCACAACGTTTCATGCGAACACGAACGAAGGAATGAATGAATGAATGAATGATAAAACAGATGAATGAATGAATGATAAAACAGATGAATGAATAAATAAACAACAAAATTACAGTTTCAATTAATGAATTAAATAATTAATTTAAAAATGAATTTGGATAGGTTGAAGAAGTACGCCAATACACATATGGCACATATGATTTAGTGAATGAAGGAATGTACGGATGAACAGTTAGGAGAATCAAAAACATGAAAAAAGAAACAGAAGCAGCCTGAAAAGAATGCTTGAACGAATGTTTTGATTGATAGGAGCAAGTTATTGCTTGGCAGACTGACGTACAATGTTTGCGTGCTTACGTTTGTTTATATACGTCGTGTGTGCGTATGTATTTATGTGTGTGTGTGGTGTGTGTGTTTGTGTGTCTGTATGGGTGTCTGTGTATGTATTATTTATTCATGTTACTGTTGAGGAGAGCTTGATGATGATGAGTTGTAAGAAACGTTGGAATGGAAATTATGAGTGGTGAATGATGGCGGAATATTTAATTGGGATTGATCTGCTACACGGCTAATGAGATGGAGTGTGATTGAGTCTGATGGAGGTGGAAGAATAAATTAACAAACAAATTAATGAACAATCAAAAAAATCAACTGGTGAATTTTTGAATAAGTAAACTGAAAATTGGGTAAATAATGCAACAAATGAATGAACAAACAAACAAATGAATGATCGAACAAATGAATGAATGAATGAGTGAATGAATGAATGAAATGCACTGAAATGAAGGGAAATGAAAATTTTGATGCAGTGTGATCGTGGGAATGAGAGGGAAATACATTGACAGAAGCTGTGAATGATGCTTCCCTTGAGATGAGACTGAGGAGATTAATTTCTTACGTGCATGTCTTTCGATCTTACGACATTTCGTCTTGTTTGTTTGTTTGTGTGTTTGTTTGTTTGTTTGTTCGTTCGTTTATTTGTTCTTATTTTGGTTTTCTAAGTTTTTCTTTGTGTCGTTGTTGTTCGTGTTGTTGTAGTTATCATCGTTGTTTGTGTTATATTTTTGATCTTGTCAATAATTTTTGAGATGATTTGATGTTGTTTGTGTTTTGGCCAAGTTATTCGTTTCTTTTTTGCGTGGTTTGTTTTGCTAAATTTGTTGTCTATGCTAGCTGTGTTGTTCATGTTGTTGTTTGTGTCAATTGTGTTGTTTATATTGTCGTTTGCGTTGTTGCTTGTATTGTTGAATGCGTCTGTTGTGTTGTGTTGTTTGCGTTGTCGTTCTTAAATTAATATTGTCAAACTATTTTTCCGAATCGGCAAAAACATCCTACAATTTATTTTTAACTTGCAGTGTTAAAAGTTTTTAAACAATTATAATATATATATACAAACATATATATACATACATATATATATATATATATATATATATATACATATATACACATTTTAATTATTCGAAGGATGACCAAAAAAGATAAACTTGTGGATAGGCCACCCTTAACTAAAAAAAAAATCTAACTATAAATGTAACAGAAATATCAAATAAATACATACACATAAACTCACGCTCACACATACTTACAAGCATGCATCATACTATTGTTCATATCATAATACTGTTATATTTTCAAACGGTAACAATATATACAACTGAGACTAAAAATTCACTCGCAAAGAACATTAAAGTTAACAATAGTGTAAAATTATTTAAAAAAAAATTTTTTTTTTTTTATTCTATTTATTCACAAAAAAAAGTAAAAGAGTCAGCCTAGCAATAAATGCTTATCTAGGGTTGACTCCCATAAAACAAGAAATAACATAAGTAATCAAAAAAAAAACACAATAACATAAATGATTAAAATAAATGTCTTTTAAATTCTTAAATTTTCATGAATAAACTTAGAAATAAAACATTGATACATTTAAACTTAAAAAATGAATAAAATTAAAAATAAAATATTAATACATTTAACTTAAACAATTTAAAAATGTACTCAACTTCTTTTTAAATTCTGTTAGATTATTAATTAATCTTAAATATTGTGGCAGATTATTCCATGCATAATAACAAAAGTTCCTGGATGTTATTTTATTTAAATTCATTAATGGCTTAATTATATTAGTATTGTTAGTTCTGTCAATCCTGGGGTTAGCTATAAATTTAATCGTATTAATTAACATTATATCAGTTGTAGATGTTATATTGTTGATAATTATTATATATATATATATATATATATTTACAAGATAATATAATTTCACAAGATAATAAGATAATTTCACAAGATTATATATATATATGTGTGTGTGTGTGTGTGTGTGTGTTAAATTCTTTTTAATTTTGGGAATCAAATAAAATTTTGTTTCGTTTCGTTGTGTGTGTGTGTGTGTGTGGTGTGTGTGTGTGTGTGTGTGTGTGTGTGTGTGTGTGTGTGTGTGTGTGTGTGTGTGTGTGTGTGTGTGTGCTGGTGTTTTATTTCAGAATTGGTGGACTCTGTCAAATTTATTTTTGATAATGATTATCAGGATGATTTTCATTTATATTTCGTAACCAATACTCTTATTAGAACAACTCTTTGCAACAGACATTTTTATTGTAATGTTGATATGGATTTCGAAAAGATTAAACCAGCCATTTTTGAACAGCTTGATAGCCAAACTAATTTGCTTAATGGAATTCAAAAGAGCGTACAGCAGCTGGTTGAGAAACAACATGTAATAAATGCAGAAAACGTTGATACGAATTCGTTGAAAACAATTTCACCGGTAAATGTAAACAAAGCCATTACAGTTACAGGTACGCATAGCAAAATTTTATTACAGAAAAAAAGTGATGTGCCATTAAATTCAATAAAGTCTACAATTGAAAGTGATTCGGAATGTGACAATTTTGTTTTAGTTAAGCGCAAAAAAAAAACAATCATCCAAATCGTAATGATAATTCTGTGCCGAGGGTAGTTGTAGGCTCTCGTGCACCAACGGAATCGAAGATTACGGCAAATAAAGTAGTTTTTCAAAAGAGAATATTTCATATCAGCAACGTGACAAAATGTGTGGCGTCAGATGTAGTTGATCATCTCAGGTTAAGTCAGGTGGAAGTAGTTTCATGTTTCCCTGCGTTCAAAAAAGACAAAAATGGTGTCAAGCCAGATGATTCGCAGCCCTCCACTTCCTTTCGACTCTGTGTGGATGCCAAGTACTCGGATATGATTAACAAGGAATGTACCTGGCCTGAACATGTGCGAGTTAGAAACTGGTCATTTGCATCAACTAATCGATAAAAAATGATACGATGACTTACAATCTTTGGAAAAAAATGATAATTACATTTAGAAGTTACATTTTACATAGAAATTACATTTTGAATTATTTTATTTTATTTTAGATTTTCAGTTATTTAATGTAACTGAACTATATTATAATGAACTAATATTTATGTTTGGACTATACTTAATTTGAACATTTATTTTTAATGTATGAACATCACTGTTAAAATCTTGACAAAATAAAGACATTTATGTAAAGGTGGCTGTGCTAGATGAGCTCAATTAGTGGACTCGATTACAGTCAGCCTGCATTCTTATAATTAATTCTTTTTAATTTTGGGAATCAAATAAAATTTTGTTTCGTTTTGTTGTGTGTGTGTGGTGTGTGTGTGTGTGTGTGTGTGTGTGTGTGTGTGTGTGTGTGTGTGTGTGTGTGTGTGTGTGTGTGTGTGTGTGTGTGTGTTGGAAAGAGACCATATTTTACACAGTATTGTATGAATTCTACCGTGTTGTTGGCATTAATCAATTGAAAAAACAAACTTTAAATTGATTAATGCCAACATTTTGGTAGAATTCATACAATATATACGTATACTTCCTTGTTCCTCGTTGTTATTGAAGTTAGTATTATTAAGGCGTCAGGTTGGTAATGAGGTAATCATTTTTTGTTGGATGTTTATTTTGGGTTCATTGATATCTATCAAGGCAGTTTTTGCTTCTTGTCATAAAACTGGTCAGCTTTTAGATGCTACAACGTTAAATAAAAATTAATCAAACTGCTAGTTCATTTTCATATCATCCTCAGTTTCTTATTCCTCTTATAAGTACTGAAACTCAACTTCTTTTCCATGATTTGAATGCTTGGGCTTTTCTTGCACTGCGGCGTATCTGGACACGAGCAGATTCATCATCAACAACAGCAACAACATCATCAACAACAACAACTTCAACAAAAACAACAACATCAACAGCAACAACATATCTCTGACAGCCATGAAACAAACGGTATGCAGAACCATGTTACCAAAAACTATTTTCAGATTATATTAGTTATATATATATATTTATACATATATATTATGTGTGTGTGTGAGCGTATGTGTGTATTATATATATATAACACACATATGTAATATGTGCATTAATGTGACGGCTTCAGATGATTTATTAATTTGACTAACAATGAGATAAAAATTTTCTTTCAAATTGAACGCTACATAATTAATGGACCTCTTTGTTTTTGACCGAGAGCGCAACTCTACGAAATATGACAAAGTTTTGCCATTCAACTGATTGATTTAGCAATTACTCTGTCGTGTGCTGGTTGCATCGCGTCGTGTGGTGTCGTGCGGTGGTTTGCCTTGTTGTCTTTTTATAACATTTGTCATTTAATAACAACCTCCATGTTTGTTGTTGATATTACTTATAGAATGCAACGAGCACATCGGAACCAAATTTTTCCAGAGCTGAGAGTCCCTGACCAAAGGTGTTCAGAAACTGCAAACAAACTGAAATTCTAACACGAAGCCTCACATGCACTCACAAACACAAATCTTCACGTCTTTGCACAGACGTTTGGCGTAAAAAAAAGTAATGACAAAAATAATCATAAAGAGCATGAGAAGGTGAGAAGGTGTGGGCCTGCAGTCTGGCAGTTGTTGGTTCTGAGCCAGGATTAATGAAGGCATCCCCGAGTCTAACTTACATGCATTAAACACGCGATGTTCTTTTTGAAAGAATATCGCTAGAAATGTGTATGTATGCGTGGATGTTTGTACGAAACATTTGCGAAGTTTCTTCATTCACATTCAGTGGCATGTTGTTACAGTTGCGTATCACGAAATGTTCGATGCATCCGAATATGAAAATACACTGAAATTCCAGGCGTCAACAACAAGCTTGCACGAATACAAATGAATTAAAACCAAAATTGCTTTATCAAATATTTATTTATCAAAGAAATTTATAACAACTAAAAAAACGTGATGAAAAAAACCTCAACAAGCACTCTATTTTAAACAACTACAAAATATCGTGGTGAGCTGATGGTGTTCATTGTCCATTAACACCACAAACGTTGACATAAACAAACGTAGAAAGAGAGAGGGTGCGTGTGTCTGAGAGTGCGTGTGTAGGTTAGTGCGATGCAGGAGCTCATAACGAGAAGTGATGTTGCAAGTGAAATGAAAATGATGACAAATGCCTGCATATTTGTTTCTCTTCACACGGCCATTATTTTGATTAATGCACCTTTATAAATCTATCCCGCTAAACGCGATGTGTGCCTTCGTTCGTGCGATGTTTCACTCGCTTGCTTCCCCTCCTATGCCTCTCTGCCCGTGTCATCCTTTTACTATGCATGTTTTAGTTACTGCAGATATGAGCTTTTCAAATGCAGTTACTATGTTTGCAAATAATTATAATACTGGATGTCATTATTAACTTTTTCAAGTAATAAGTGCTTTAATTGAAAGACTAATATAATGGCAGGCATGAACGAAACAACAGACCCCATCAGGCTAGCAATGCCCTTGCGAGTCGCTCATTTGATTTGAAATCGGCGTGCATTAAAAAGAATTTAGAGGATCATTAAAGGACTCGCCGAAAAAATTATTGCAGGTTTTATGGAGGTGAGAATTAATAATCGGTCGGACATAAATTGAACTTTATGTTGAGTGCTGACATCAAACACGTGTAATAAAACAGTCATCTGATCTCTTAGACCTCACACGTGCGCTTTTCAGCTCTAAACATACCCAAATACTTACATCTCATTATATCAGTTGTTTTATATTATAACTGAAAATTTTGTTGAATCATTCATAAAAGCGATTTAAAATGATCTGCGATGGTTGTTCAATTGTTTAGCAGTGTGCACTGAGTTGCTTGTTAGTCAACTCGATTGATATGCACAAAAGAGCGAACAAATAAATATACAACGTCACACAAACAACCTTATACGTACAAGCAATTGTGCAAACAAACAGTGTATCCAGAAATTGACAGTAGGAGACGATTTTCAAAATTTTAAGTTTGGTGATCTTTTATGGCTAATCGCTGTTTAATTTAAAAAATACTAAATCACAACGTTAAATATTTCACACTTTAACACAGAGTCTTCAATATTTTCTTTTTTCATAGTCTGATGAGGGGTGCATCCCTGCAGCCCCCCACCCCTGAATCCGCCACTACAAACAAGCTCACCCAGACAAACATTGACATACAGACAAGGAAGTGAACAAAGAGAACGTATGGTCATCAATTTCGGGAGCGGCAGTCGATTGAGTGGAATTTTTGACAAGTTAAGCTTGAAATATAAGCGGAAAAACTTTCATGGAGAAAAATTTGCGAAGGGAAATGAATGAATGATTGAATGAGAAAAAGTTTGAGATCCATATCTTAAATTGATCGATCGACTAATAATGCATCAAACCGTCCATCAATTAACATCACCTCTGACGTCACAGACACGTGACTTCGGCGCAGATGTTTGTTTGTTCGCATACAAGATTATTCCTGAGGGTTCAATGAACATGTGCAGGATGTGTTGTTTGTATGTGTTGTTGTTTTCGTGTAAGGAAGTTTGTATGTGTTGTTGTTTGTATGTGCTGATATTTGTATGCGTTGTTTGTATGTGTTGTTGTTTTCGTGTAAGGAAGTTTGTATGTGTTGTTGTTTGTATGTGCTGATATTTGTATGTATTGTTTGTTTGTGTTGTTGTTTTCGTGTAATGAAGTTTGTATGTGTTGTTGTTTGTATATGCTGATATTTGTATGTGTTGTTTGTTTGTGCTGCAGTTTTCGTATAATGAAGTTTGTATATGTTGTTGTTTGTATGTGCTGATATTTGTATGTGTTGTTTATTTGTGTTGTTGTTTTCGCGTAATGAAGTTTGTATGTGTTGTTGTTTGTATGTGCTGATATTTGTATGTGTTGTTTGTATGTGTTGTTGTTTTCGTATAAGGAAGTTTGTATGTGTTGTTGTTTGTATGTGCTGATATTTGTATGTGTTGTTTGTATGTGTTGTTGTTTTTGTATAAGGAAGTTTGTATGTGTTGTTGTTTGTATGTGCTGATATTTGTATGAGTTGTTCTTTTTATGTAATAAAGTTTGTATGTGTTGATATTCGTATGTAATAATGTTTGTATGTGTTGGTGTTGTATCTGTTGCTGTTTGTATGCGTTGATATTTGTATGTGTTATTGTTCGTATGTAGTGATGTTTGTTTGTGTTGTTGTTTGTATGTGTTTGCTGTTTGAATACTTTGTTGTTTGTATGTAATGATGTTTGTATGTGTTTTTGTTTGTAAGTTTTGTTGTTTGTATGTGTTTGGTGTGTTGTTAAGCTAATTTTTGTACGTGTTGTTCTCTGTTGAGGTTAGTGCTTTTTATATTCGTCGTTTTGTTCACAAATTTGTTTTTAGTGATGCTGTTGATGCCTGTATGGGTTCTTCAATCGTTTCCTGTTGGCCACGTTGATTGCACGTCCTAATGTTTGCATATTTGCATGAGTCGTGTGTTTTCTTGTGACATGAGATGTTTGTATGTCTGAGCTTCTTGTTTGTATGTAAAACTTGTATGTGGCACTGATTTTATGGCAACCTAAGAAGTTTGCAACTCAAGTAGGAGTTATCGGCGATGTGAAGTTATGCTGTAATAAACAATGACGCACGCACACATGCCTCACTTCAACGCGGATTATTTCGTTAATTAGCACTTTTTTGAAAAACAAAGTGAAAACCTCGTTCAGATTAATTAGATTCATGTTATAACTTTATTAATTGTTATCAAACAAAATACAGTAAGTTCTTATTTGTTGCATAATATTAATATACACACAATTTTGCGTAAGAAGGTTGAAACAAATTAGGGGTAGAGAGATGAATGTAAGCAAACTGGCCGAAGAGCAGAGATAATAAGATGAAGAAGAAATCAGCGGCAAACAATAAGCGACAGATCAGCAAACTAAAAAGCTCTTAATAAATCTTTATTTGGCCCCTTGACAACACAATGGCGACTATGAAACAATCTTATGGAGATCAATTGGCCGCTTAAACATTAAAAATCACTTGACAGCGCAATTTGAGGACCGACCAACACAAACAAACATCGTAACGCGATAGAGAGGAATATTAACGGTGAAGAAGCAATTTTCAATGACGAGTTTTTATTTGGTCTCGTTCTTATATGAGAGTTTTTCTAGCGGCAAAGATAAATTCTCCGTGGACGAGTTTGCATGCGAGAATCAGCAGACCTAATAGAGAATTTCATCGCCTCAAACGATTGCTATAACTCAGTGGCTCGGCCAGCACTACTGATTGATAGTGGGCTATTTGTTTGCTAGATGTGCTCCAGATTAAAAGATCGAATGTAAACGCTGGGTGCTATCAAACACCGCCGTAAAATTAATGCAAACATTTAATTACAAACATTTTTCCTCCAGCCGTCTTACGGCGTGCTTTTTCGAGCAACTATGTAGGACACTGGTGCGTTATTTATATTACGCTCTATATAGTAGCATAAATAAGGTTGAAAAGCCTTAAAATCTTAATATTCATAAAACATAATACATCTATTATTATTTTTATTCAATGAAAACTAGTGACAATTTTGGTTTTTTATTACTTATGTAACCTACTATTTTCTACTGGCAGCCAATGGAGATCAAAGTAAAAAACAACGCTTGTGATTAACGTGTTCGAATTTCAACCTACCAGAAACGATGTTTGCCACAAAAAATTTTTAATGACTCTAACGATCCATTATTTTATAGGAGGTTTTTTTTAAAATACTGTTGCAATAACCCAGTTTAGGATAGACGAATGCATGAACTAAACATTTTAATGTGGCCTTCATCGAGTGATTTGTTGATGTGTCTAAGTCTGCAAAGCTGAAAATAAAGGGCTTAGTTCAGCATCTTAACATGTTGATGTTGATCCATGTACATTTTACTGAAGGTAACACACAAATTGCCGGTCCCAGGCTGAGATGAATAGTTAATAACTATAAATAGTTAGCTGGTAGCTCCTAACTACCCGCCTATGGCTAAGCTGTAATTTGTAACTACTTTTTCGAGTAGTTTATGTATGACAACTAGTTAAATATTTTTTTAATGTTAATATTATAGTTAACTACCTTTTTTAATTTTTTAACTACTTGAACATTTTTTACAAAATAAAAAATTACAAAATTTTTTTGAATTTTAAAAAGTACATCCCTACTTTTTTTTTTTGTTTTAACTTTTAACTCTGGTTTTTCGAGTGGTTACGAACAAAATTAAAGGTTCTTATATGATTAGTCAAATATATAAATTATGTTTTGAGGACATTGTCTCATACAAAGACAACGATAGAAACCTGACGGCAATGTGCTTCACATGTAATAAAAGAATTTCGGGGAATATCTCTTATTCTAATTTTTTCAACTTTTTAAAACATGTAAGAAGACTTACATTGTAAGTAAATAAAATAAGTAAATAATAATTATCTAAAATCTAGTTGGCAGTAGTTTTGACAACCACATGTTTTGAAATTATTTGTACAGATTGCATGTTAGTCAGATATTACCGATTGTAGAAGTTATTTGTGCAGTGCAGCAAATATTTTAAGTGAATTTAAAATTGTAGAAAAAATTGTATTAACTATAGTATAATAAGTTTAAAATTTAAAATTACATAGTATTTAAACTTTAAATACATTTATGTAATTATACGCATACCCATACACATATTGAATAAAAATGCTAAAGTAAAGGCAAAACATTAACTCTTATTTACTACAGGAACAGCATCCCCCAGTTTACAAAGCTTATAAAATATAAAGCACAGAATTCTGTAAATAAAAGAAAGGTTGTAAAAACAAAAACGTTGGCTTCCATTTGGCTTCCAAATCTGTTCCATAAAAAAATTCACCAAAGCAGTGACAGAAATTGTTGGCAGCGTGAAGGAGGCGTTGTTATCTATTTGAAGTCATCCATCTTATCTTATCTTCACATTGTTTCACCTCATGCTATCAATGATGCACTGGAAACCCTTTGTCTCAAGTGCATTATCAACTGTGAACCATACTTCATCTGTGCCATCTATCATCCACCAAACCATCAATCGTACAAAGTCTCCACCTTGATGGGTTACTCTTTAACACTGTATTGTGGAGCAACTCAAAACTCATCATTGGGGGTGACTTCAATCAACTCGACCACCATTCCATCCTTTTAACAGGTCTACACCATATATTCTGGGGTCCCACTCACCATGGTCACAACCTTGACAGAATATATGGGATTAATGTAAACCTGGACATCACTCTCACTTTAAGGTTTCAACGCATCATTTTGGGGTGGTTGCTGCTCCTCCACCAACTAACTCAACATCAAGAAACCACACCATGAGAAATGTCATCTCATTTCACCATCGTCATCCTTCACAGAAGAGTGCCTGCCTTCAACATCTCGCCAACATCGACTTAAACAATATCTTTGACCTCAACATCACCACCACCAATAATACTCTACCAGCAATTTTTAATAACACTATTAATTTTGATAATATTAAAAATAACAATTATAATAATAGTCCTACTAATAGTAATAATTCTTGTAACAATAATAATAATATTAACAATGGTGCCAATGATAATAATAACAATATTAGCGTTAATATGCTCATTACTAACTCTATTGACAATTTTTTGCAACATTTTTGATAAATTTTATAAAATCATCAACTCAACTTACAACCCGTACTACCCAACATCAAACATCATGATCAGATCATCAGACCCTCCATTTATCAGCCCATTCATCAAATATCTACTTTCAAAAAAATATATTCACGAGATCAGGATTCATCCTCATAGCTGCAGCAATCACCAAATACATCAATAAACTATTCATCAACTTCAATTCAAAAACTTTCACTAATAGTAATCCTGGAAGCAAAGCCATGTGGGACCAAGTCAACAGGATTAGAGGCTCTGACAAATCATTCAACACGTCAACTTCACAGCAAATTGATGCCACAACACCAACTTTGCTTCCATGTCAACTGGCCCGTCCTACAATACTCCACCAACAAAAGCAACAAAAATCAATAGTCGTCAACATCAACAATATACCCCATACTCCGTCCTGCACATGCTAACAAAGGCCTGTACATCCAGTACAGATCCCAGACAGTCTGCCAGCAAGGTTTTTACAAATCATTGCTCCATTCATCTGCAGCACCTTAAGTTCACTCTACAATCACTGCTTAATGCATTCATTCATCCCATCACAATAGAAATCCAGCACAATTCATCCAATTCCTAAAACAAAATACCCATAATAACCAAAAAATTATCACCCAATATCTATCACCCCCATACTTTCACGTATTCTAGAAAAATTCATCGTTAGGTCATCTGTCCATGTTTCAACCATCCATCCATCAAACCACTAATACAAGATCAGTTTGCATTTCGCCCTACATCTCTCTTACTTCTACAATAACATCTTTCTTATCAAGTCGCTACGAAATCTACATATCAGGAAAAGACTTTCTTCACAAGACACCTCAAACATATTAACATTCAATTATCAATTTGGTTTCCTAGCGGAGAAATCAACAATTGATGCAATTCACATCCTTCGGCAACTGCAAGAGAAGTACCTCGCAAAGCATCAACAACTATCACACATTTTTGTAGATCTTGAAAAAGCATTTGATCGAGTTACCCGTGAAGCAATCATGTGGAGTCTACGTCGACAACTCATTCCAGAATATCTTGTTCGACTTGTAATGGAAATGTATACGAATACTAAGACTCTCGTCAGCACAACGGTTGGAAACACAGATGCATTTGACATCGGCGTTGGAGTTCACCAAAGCTCGATTCTCAGTCCACTGTTATTTATAACTGTGATGGAAGAAATTACAAAACCGATACGCACTGGTGCAGGGCCGCCGAGAGCCAAACCGGGCCCCAAGTTTGAATGCACGCCGGGCCCCTCATATATATATATATATATATTATATATATATATATATATATATATATATATAAACAAATTTAGTTTAAAGAACGTTATATAAATAATAATAATAATAATAAATATATTTTTACGCAGACTACCTACAAACACGTAAAACCTACCAACTGTTTATTTCATACATTTATTTAGAGAAATGGTGATAAAATAAAAATTAAAAAAAAAACTAAAAACATGAAAAACATTTAAACCACGTTTAACATTAACATTATTTAACATTAGAAACCATTAATATGAACATTTGACGGTTGTGATTCACAAGTGAACTTTTCTACTTTTATTATTAGCAAAGTCATCAACCACATCATCAAAATTTAAAGATCTCGCTAAATCGTTTTCCAGTGCAAGCATTCCTAAACTTGTCAATCGTTCTTCGCTCATGGTGGATCGCAAAAAATTTTTTACTCTTGACAGAAGACTAAACGATCGCTCAGCTTCCGAAACCGTCACAGGCAGAGTGCAGAAGATTCTCAATGCAATTACCACATTTGGAAAAATATTTGTTAGGTTTTGGCTTGCCAAAGTGCTAAGAAGTGTTATTGGTTTCAAATTCATTGAAAAATTTCCTTTTTGAATTTTTTTCAAATCAATTATTTCTAAAAACAATTCTTCTCTGTCAACATCATTATTGTACTTTTTAGACAATGTTTTTACCTTTTCTTTGAGCTCTTCTTCGGTCATAGTTGAATATTTCCAAAGAAACTGAAAAATCTCATTTAAGCTGTTAGCAGCTTGGTACCTTCGTACTAGGTTTCCAATGACACTGTCAAGCAGCACAAAAAAGACATTGATTTTAAAGTTTTCTTCAGGACAATGAATTTGCATTTGTGTGCATTTGTCAGCGAGCAGTTTAGCTTTCTTTCTTCTGTCAGGCAGTTCTTTATCAATATTAAGACATTCTGCAACAGCTTTGCATTCATTAAGTATATCAAACCATTTTGAGCGCAGAGTGCTAAGGTTTTCAATTAGTTGCCGCAGATTAACAACCTCTACGTCTAGGGTGGCTTGTCTGGCCTGCAGAATTTCATTCCATATGTTTATTTCACAGAGTACTTTTAACCATATCGATGCCATTAGTAGACACTCAAACGTGTTTAAATATCGTTCAATACCCTTAATTTCAGTTAATGTTTGTGGGGTGAGATGAAGTTGTTTTATAGCATTGAGAGCGGTTTTCAGTCCAGGTAAATGAGCTGCAAAAGGCCGTACACTCTCCACCCTTGCAGACCATCTTGTTTTTGAATGAGAATGTAGCGAAGATCCAATACACTTTTGAAGAATTTCCCACCTGTTATGCAATATGATAATCTAAGAATTTAAACAAACAAATTTGAAAATAATAATTTACCTTTGTGGGCTAGAGCTAAATATGTTATAACACTTTTGAACAATTCCAAAAAACGTAACAGCTTCTGCTGAAGATTGGGCCGCTTCTTCTCCACACAAATTCAGACTATGAGCTGCGCAAGGTGAATATACAGCTACCGGATTTTCGGATTTTCAGTTAAAATTCTGCTTTGTACGCCTTTGTACACCCCACTCATATTTGATGCGTTGTCATACCTTAAAAATTAATACAATACAACTCTGTATATAAAACAACGTATAACAATATTTGGGTAGCTCCAATTAAAAATTATGTGTAAGCTAAAATATAATTTTTTGCTATAAGTAAAAGATTGTGCTCTTTAAGCGTTGATTTGATTAAATCTGCAATTGCTTCTCCAGTTTTATTGCTGCAGTCGACAAATTTTAAAAATCTTTCGTTGATTTTGTAAACAGTTTCTTCCCCTTCACTGTAAGGAGTCACATATCTTAGGATAAACACGGTTTGTTCAACGTGTGATGAGTCTGGAGTTGAACCAACTATTGTAGAAAAGTATTTTGACTCATTAATTTCGTTCACGATTTTCTGAGTGACTTTTTGTGCACAACACACGATAAACTCATTTTGTATTTCCATGGAAAGGTAGTGAACTGGTAGCCGTTTTTTTTGCATTTGTGATTGTTTAACCTTTATCAAATGATCATTTAATATAGGGTCATAATGAGCTATAAGTTCTAGTATTCCCAAAAAATTTCCATTTCTAGGATTACCAACCAAATTCGAATCACCCCTTAAGGGCAGTCCTCTTTCACCCAAAAACAAAATTACATGAAGAATCCTTTGTAAGATAGCTCTCCAACGAGCTTTTTCGTTTGTTATCATATCAGTAAAGTTAGTATCAATAGCTGGTTTATTCTTCAATAAGCATTTTTCTAAACTTCTCCACTCAAAATAGCACAATTTGTGGTTAGAACTATTTTCGTGCGGGTTGAGTTTATCGTGAATTCTCTTCCATGAGAGTTTGTTGCCACTAAATCCTTCTGGACATGTTAACATGGACCTATTTGGCAAAGGCAGTTTACTAAATATGCGGCATGGAAAACAATAAATTGCATTTTTGATTTTACTCCATGCCAACCAATTTCTTTTGACCTCTTCTCCATTTTTCAATTTACAAACAAGCGCCGATGGAGGAAAAAACTTCCCTTCAAAGTCTACTGGAAAGTTTTTAGGCAAGGTTGGTGGACCGTTAACGACGGCTTCATGAACGTCTTTGGTTTGAAGAAATGTGTTTTCTTCTTTTCCTATATCGTACACTGAATGTGTTGATTTGTTGCAGTTGTTGGCCGCAGATGAGTTTTCACCTTCGTCAACATCAAACGTTACAATTTCAGGAGAAATAACGATAAGAGATTCTTCCACCAATGTAGTATTTTCAATTTTTTCAGGTTCAGATTCGTTGTGAAAATTGGAACTTGATTGATTAATCATAAAAAATCTGTCACATGTTTTTTGGTTTTTTCTTGCTAACGTTTCTCGTTTTTCTTTTTCCTTTCTTTTTGAAGCACCTGATTTATGCTGATAGCTCATTTCTCTGATTCACTCTTGTTTTGAGGCAACAGTTAAAGAACGCTACACTGAAAAACAAACAAATTAAATAAACGATTGACATCACCATGACAACACCGAAAAAACCGACTTTACCATGGAGATGGACTTACATTTAATACGCAATTGCATGTGTAATTTTTATGTTAATAATTTATATTAGTTTTTCTTAAAAATGTTGACATAATCCTAATCCACTTTTGCAATTAAGTTCAGCTTTATATATTTAGCGTATTCTGGAAAAATTAATGTTATATCGCAATTTTAATCTCGGTCGGTTCACTTTTACAGACAATACAATATGCTGATTTGTATCGTCTGTTGTACGTCACATTGCATAGTAAATTTTAATAAATTAAATAATCACTCTTTTATGTGAATGTAGAAAATGATTATGAACATTCGGAAAAATTCATATTTTTGTGCAATACATTCAGACAAAATTAATTTCTCACTGAAGTGATATTTCGCGTCTAAGTAATTTTTTCGAATCTTTGAAACCACTTTTTTTCAAAAAATTGGATAGAAAAAATCATTTTAGGGCCCGTCCCGGGCCCCCTTGAGGGCCCGGGCCCCAAGTTTTAAACTTGGCTGACATACCCTCTCGGCGGCCCTGCACTGGTGACATTTGGAATCTAATATATGCTGATGATATCGTTTTAACAGCCACGTCTGAGCAGAATGCAGCACAGATGTTTAAAGATTGGAACACCAGACTCGCTGATCATGGATTCAAAGTCAACATCAGCAAAACCAAAGCAATGAACACTGGTGAACCCATTCAATTCACAGCTACTGTTCAGTTTGTAAAGCTGGTGTTGGTAACAATTCAATCAAGTGTCAGCAGTGTAACCAGTGGTGTCACAAACGTTGTTCAAAAATAATTGGTACTTTATCTAAAGTGTCCAATTTTGTTTGTCCTGCTTGTATCAATCCACAACAACAAATTCGAAATAGCACTGTTTTTGAAGCCATTAAGGTAGAGAAAGTAACATCGTTTCAATATCTAGGGGATGTTCTGGATTGTACTGGAACAGCTGAAGCTGCCGTTCGAGCACGCATACGTGCAGCCTGGATAAATGGCATCTCCTTGCCTCTATATTGATGCGGCGTGACATCCCACTACCATTACGATCAAGACTTTATAAATCTGTGATACGTCCGGTGTTGTTATATGGTACAGAAACATGGCCAATGACAACCAAACTGGAACAACAACTTCAACGAACCGACATGAAAATGCTCCGATGGATGCAACGAATTAGTCTGAAGGACCACATCAAACCTACCGAAATCTTGCGTCGTGCTGGTTTAGATGATATAAAGGATGAATGCCCGCAACACCGTCTGCGGTGGTTTGGTCATGTCAAACGAAGTGGAAACAGTGCCATAACTTCTCTTGCAGATGTTGAAGTACCTGGCACACGTCCCAAAGGCCGTCCAAAGAAGTCCTGGTCGCAAACAATCGAGCAAGACATGAAAGCTCTAAATTTAAATGAAATGGATACAACTGATCGTCTAATTTGGCGCAAAAAGTTGATGGCAAAGAGAACAACGTCCAACCTCGGGAAACCGGGTCTCTGGACGCAACACGAAAATTGATTGATTGACCTCAAACATATTAACATTCAATAAAACTTTATCATTCACACAACTAGTTTTTATTTAATAAAACTTTATCATTCACACAACTATTTTTTATTTATCGATCACCTCACTAAGTCATCATCTAGTCTATTAATTTGCGTTTTTATTCCTTTACATCATTTCATTGCCAATTTCTTTTCTTTTATTTATTTTATTATTTATTTTATTTTGTTTTTCATGTTTAAACATTTTTCTTTCTCCGTTTTTTTATTTATTTATTTACTTATTTGTTTAATTTTGTACTACTGCCTTTCATGCTGTAACAGTTTCTGCGTCTGTCAGATCTTAAATTTTAAAGAATAATAAAAAAAAACATTGTTGCTGGTCAGCTCAGGGCTTTGACGACTGTAACAATTTGAACGATTACACGGAGAGTAATTTAAATTGTTACTCAATAATAACTTGACTAAACCGCCTAGGAATAATGTAATGTTTTTGTGTCCAGCCATATGTGCCGCATTCATGAAACTAAACTCAACATTGCCTCTTTAGCTCGGCAGTAGTAACATAATTTTTTTAATATCCTATTTTTGCCAAGTGTACTTTAAAGTTATTTGTTGTTTTTGCGCATATTATTTCATCTCCTGGATTGTTCCACTCACCTACAACTCTACAGCTGAAAATTGATCGATCACGAGCTTTTTTTAAACATTTATATTCAGCGTTTATCTAGAAACGAAATGTGCCATCGCTTTTCTGCAATGGTATCTTGGTCATCATATGGAATTCGTTGAAATACATGTTGATTTTGGTATTTGAATTATTACTTCTTCTTCTTCTTCTTCTGCAGTTTTACGGCGTTTTAGCTCTGATAGGCTATCTTTACGCCCTTGGTCTTTGTTGATTCTATTTTCTTTTGTGGATCTTCATTGACCCGTGAGGCAATTAAATGTTGTTGAACATGTTTATTTCTTTAATGAATGATAACAGGTTTTGTAATTTTTCATCTTTGAAAATTGATCGGATATCATTTGGTATTTGATGTTTTTTCCTGATTTCATTGTAATTTTGACATTCTATCAATATATGTTGGATTGTTAATTTTGTATCACAGTTCTCGCAATTTGGAGGGTTTGTTTTGTTGAGAATCCATGAATGAGTTATTTTAGAATGACCGAGTTTTAATCTATTTATGATGTTTAAATTGTTTCTACTAAGTTCGTTGATTTTGGTGTTTTGTGTTCTGGCATAACTATTTTGAGGAAGTTAGTTATTTTATCCCATTCTTTTTGCCATTTGGAACATATGAGGTCGTTTATCATCACTCTTATGTCGTAATATGGAATTGGAATGTTTGATGGGGGATCCAAGTGCGCTTGTGCTGCCAATTGATCTACCCTTTCATTTCCTTCAATACCAATGTGGCTAGGAATCCAGATTAATGAAATATGATTTTTATTGCTTATTATATCATGTATTTTGTTTTGGATCTGAAGAATTAATTGATGGCGGGGATAGTACTGTTTCAATGCTAGGAGAGTTGACAACGAATCTGTGAATATCTGATAGTTTTTTCCTGTTGAATTGTATATGGAGGATAATGCCATGTCTATCGCTGTTATTTCCGCTGTGTATATTGAGGTGTAGTTTGGAAGATGCTGAGTACGACTGTTGGTAAATTGATATTGCTGCTGGAAGATGATTGCTGCTGTTGTTGAATTTTCTTTCTTCGAGCCATCTGTATATATTTTAATATTATTTTCATTATTGCTTAGTTTTTCTTTATACATAGTTTTTGCCAGCTCTTGGTCTTTGTTTGCACTTGTTATGGATGTGTCAATTTCGGGGTAAGACATTAGCCATGGAGGGGTTTTGTGGGTTATCTCCTCTAAAATCTTTGTTTTATCTATTTCTTTGATATATTCTTTTAATCTTAT